AAGAACAAAATACAACATTCGAGAACAGATTTTATCTATCACTTTTCGTGTTTTGACACGACACCCAGCAAACGTGTGGAATTTTTGAGGTTTATGAGAAAAACCCAAATGTTGACCTGGGTTCGTCTCACCTAGACTAACAAGAGGTCGATTTTGCATCCAATGATGTGCCCAGTGATCCAGTAAGACTATGGAAAATAAATTTTGAAAGTGATTGTACGGGTTCTGGATTATATAAATGTGCCATAAAATATTACGTTTACTTAAGGCTGTATCATATTAAGTGCAATACTGTCTGCTGTAAATATTTCTGTTAGGTAGTGTAAATGTATGTGTGAAGTTATATCTATAGGGAGGCATGCGCCAAGCCGTCGACTCTGGGTTGATAATCGGCGATTTTGACTAACGACGAAGATGTGCTGTTGTGCGTAATAAAGTTGCTTTAACTTGGCCGGATCGTTACGTCAAAATCGGCCTCGCAATCGCTCGTCAAGACTACAATCTTTGCCCTCGTTAATTAAAGTTTCCTTCCACCCCTTCGTTTTCGGTCCAGACAATTCAACGTCGGGAACAACGATGCAGCAGTTTCCATTTCGGCCTCGAAGAAGTGAAAAATATGGCCAAAAGTGAGGCAAACGTAAAGCAGCTAGGAAGCGAGACGATGTCCCATGAGAAGCATTTCCTCATCAAAAAATGACTGAAAAACCATCTGCAATCCAGATACAATGTCGGTGGATTGGAATGAGAAAATGTGATGCTTAGGAAGAGAATGAGGGAAAGAGGATGATGTTGATAATGCTTAGGTGGGATTAGGAGAAATGAGGAGGAGGAGGAGCGATACAATGTGGGTGGATTGAAAAAGATGAAGCACATACGATGTTTTTGGTAGGATAACAGAACGCCAGCAATCGATTCATCAAAAATTTCATCGACAGCACATTGCAGCTGAAAAAAAGAGAGAACTAATTTGATCGGTCAAATAAGACAGCACTGAACAGGCGGTAAAAATGATTTTAAAAAGAATACCACTGCTTCATAAATTCGAGGTTCCAATTGAGGGCGGCGAAGCATGACAGCGCACAAAGCCAGAGCCTGTGTGATTTGCGTCGACAGTACGCCAAATCTTCTAAAAACGAACAAAACTGGAGCAGTTCATGGCCTGGCAAAACTGTCGTTACAGTGCTCTGGCCAAAATATGAGGGGGGTTGTGGTGGGCCCAATATTCCCCGGTAAAAATAGTTTATTTGTTTATAAAAAAAAGGTCTGCATCTGATGATAGTTGGGCCATATTCGGAGGCCAAATGATCTACTGGGATTCAGAGAATCACAATTCAATTTTTAGGTGAAAAAGCGCCCTCTGGTTTAGCCTCGTTGATATCCCACCCGAGTCAAAAAGACTGGGGAAATACTTTAAAGTTGGAAGAAAACAAAAGCAAATAATATAAAAAAAGTTGGCAGAAGTTGTAAAGTTATTTTGATACAATTATTATAATGGTAAGAAATGTTTCGGTCCATTAAGTCCGATGCATTTTTTGTGTTCAAATTCAGCTCGTTTATGTTTTAAATGATTTCAATAAAGTAAAATACCGTCGTCATATTCTTTTCGCAGCAGCGCTTCGCACTCCTTTTCAGCAGAGAGCGCCTGCTCAGTGAACTGATTGGCCAATGTGGCGATTCGCTGCCAATCTACAAAAAAACCATGCGAAAGAATCGATTTTCACCATTTTAAGAAATTTTCAACTTTCAACAAATAGTTAAAAACTTTGAAAAAACTTATCAAAGATGTACAGGTTCTTGAGCGTTTTGTGCTGTGTAACAGCATATTGTCACGGGGTTGTCTGTGTGTGTTTGTGTGTGTGTCCGCAACTTTCAACTCGGGAACCACAAAAGCTAGAAAGCTGAAAATTTAGGGGAACGTTCCCCACCCACGTGTGACTCCGCAAATTTAAATTCATCTTCCCCGTACCCGCGGGTAACGCGTACGGCCCTGTGAAAGTTTTTTAGCCACGTATGACCCCGCAAATTTAAATTCAGCTTCTCCGTACCAGTGGGTAATACGTAAGGCCCCGTGAAAGTTTTTTACGGATAAATTAGTATCTCGGGAACCCTGAAGTTTAGCAGGCTGAAATTTTAGGGTAATGACCCCTTGCTCACGCTTGACCGTGCCTATCCAAATTCAACGTTCCCGCGCTTTTCAGTATTACCTACAGCCTCGTGAAAGTTTTGGCGGGTAAACTATTAACTCGGGAGACACGGAAAGATATTCATCCTTCAAGGTTTCGAATTCAGCTTTCATGCGCTGGTGCGTGAAATTTTTTAACCATTTTTCAATGTTTGAACGATTTTTGCGTAGACTAAAGTACAAAGCAGTGAAAATCATTAACAGGCAGTCCAATGTTTGTACTATTTTTGCATAGACTAAAGTACAAAGCAGTGAAAATCATTAACAGGCAATCGTGTGTTTGAGCTGTTTTTGCATAGACTAAAGTACAGTGCAGTGAAAATTACTAATAGGCAATCGTTCGATGGGCTGAATTGCACAAGGCGCATGATCACACCGGCTAGTCTGGTGCGCGTTGCTATTTATTGAAATTTCCACTGGGTCTTCTTCAGAGATCCTCCAAAGACCCAAAATGAACTGTACATATCTACGGTCGTTCGATTTTGCCAATTTTGAAGGCACAAAACAATTCATGGCATTTGGCCGCCGTGAATGTCCGAGTGTCCTGTGCGTAGAATTGCAGTTTTAGCCGAGAGAAGGCGAGGGAGCAGGAGCAGCAGCTAAGTTGCACGCTTACCGGCAGTTTCGGTGCGCAGCAGAGCGGAGAGCCTGGCCCGGTCGACGAAGTAGTCCAGCCAATTGAGCAGCGGTTGCTCGCGCAAAAAATTCAAATTATTCATCGCACTCGAACAGGCAGCCATTGAGCCACGCAACGTTGTCCCCTTCACTTCTCCATCCGACAGCAGAAGCAGCAGTTCTTCAGAACAAGCGAACACGACCCGCCGATCCCCCTGAAAATAACACGCTGAAAAGCAGCACAACGACCGGGACACACCGAGCGCACTCGAAAGGAGAACGAAGGAACTAGGGGACGCGGGGAACGGAGGGCGGGGAGCGGAGATATGAGCGCCACAATCGGCAAGGCCGAAAAAGCGACCAAAGTGCATGAGGAGGCCGAAACGGTGAAGACCGGAAAGCGAAACTTACCCAAACGCTGAAAAAACCAACAGGCACACTATCCCGCACTGGAGCACCAGGCGAGCGACTCTTTCCCTTTCATAAAACTGCGCCGACAATTACACCAAAACTCGGCTCGGCTCGGCTTCGCTCGGCTCGTCTCATACACAAGCCGCAAAAAATTTTTCCTCCGGACGGTAGGTAGGGCTGCCAGCGCGACGGATGGCGGCAATTTGAATGTGGCAGCTGAAAGTGGGGGTTGTATGTGGCAGGTTTCATTCGAGGCGGGGGGAGAAGGGAGGGGGGGAGGCAAGTACAGGTGGATATAAGGACTAAATGGCCCTTTGTCGACTGGCCAAGTATAACGCATATTTGAGGACAGAGGGGAGCAGTGAACAACGAAAAAGATGAGGAAGTGTGCTCCTGCGGCTTCCCTTTTTGTGAATGTGAAACTTGGATAAAGCTGTTCCACAAATAGCCGTCATTAGGCTTTTTTATTTATGAAACTGATGCTTAGGTAAAGCTGAGAGAGAATAAGCCCATGAAGTGGGCAAAAACAAGGTAGAATGAAGATAAAGTCAGCCTTTGCTCCTGTGAGATTTTGAATACAAAAAACAAAGGTGTAACTGTTGTGCACAGTTGCAGGCTGCAAGAGACAACACTTTGGGATTGCCTGCAATTCTTGTATAATCCAATTGAACTTATTTGCCCTTAGCTTCACCTAAGCATAAGCTTCAGTAAATCCCGCCGGAATTATTTGCCCTCAGTTTCGGCTAAGCGCAAACCTCATAAATGCGGGGACCGCTTACTGAAGACGGGTTTTTGTAAGACAAATTTTACTCGCATAATCTCAGTTTTTGTTTGCTTTTGCTTTGAGTTACAAGCTCCAATTCTTTAATTTTGCTTTTTTTTCATTCATTCACAAATTCAGGTTTGTTTTAATTTGCTTTTCTTTGTAGTGCCTTGTTGGTTTATTTTCCTCTTTACTGCCATCTGTAGTTCTTGCTTCGAACTCCTGACTAGCACCCTTCTTCCCCTCCTGTGTCATTCCTCCCCATTATCCTGGCCTCAATCGCGCCGTCTGAGCTGTATCTAGGCAACTACTAACAAACATCCTCTGACCACGTCCAATCCTCTCACCTATCACTCCCACGGCCACGTTATCCAGCCGCAAGGCAGCGCTACCTAGCGCCTCTGGCAAGATTCCAGTGAGCGGCGTCGCGAAATAGTGTTGGCAGAGATGGTAGGGCAAAGCGTCGGAGGGCCAAAGCACCAT